AGTTGAACACATACTACATTGCATTTCCATATTCTGCAAGAACACAGACATAAATAAGTAAAGTGAATAAATTCTTGTAGAATGGGTATATATATACAAAGTCAGTTGAACTACACGAAAAGGATGAACATACAATATTCTCTAAGAATATGTAGCTTGAACTATAAATTTTGTAACGCCCAGTTCCTGGTATGTATTTAATTATAATTTATTCATTTTAGTGCAGAAACTCGACGAGTTGGAGGCCCCAAACTCATCGAGTAGAATGGAGTGGGACGCGGGTTTTAAGTGACCTACTCGACGAGTTGAGAGCCCTCAACTCGACGAGTAGGGCTGGCAGAATGAAACCCTAATTTTAAGGGTTTTGCACTCTATTTAAACATCTTAATCCCCTCATGCTAGCCTCATTTCCAGCCTCCAATCCCCAAACCCTAGATCTCGAAACCCTAATGCATTGTGTGAGCTTGTGATTCATCCAGTGTTGTAAAACTCGCCGAGTTGGCCGATTACTCCTCCGAGTACTCGCTACTCGGCCGCTTACGGAGGCGAGTTACAGAATTCTGAGTACTCCCCGATTGGCTCCTTACTGAACGGAGAAATGTTGTAAAACTTGGTCAACTCGGTGATTAATATGTAGAATATATTTAATTATTTATTATTTAACACACACACATGTGATTATTACTACATATATATCTTAAATTTCTAATAATTATTCACGAAGTGAGACCATTATGTGTTTTTCAGTTTTTGTGTATTCTCATGTATCTAATTTTGTTATATATTTCAATTAACTTATGATTTTGACATATATAATTTCTCTAAAAATATTTCTACATGAATTACTGAATCCGGGTACTCCCCGAGTACTCGCTACTCGGTAGTTGGCCGAACTGGTACCGAGTAACGAGTTCTACAACCTTGGAGTCATCTTTGAGAGAAATCTTGTATGTGTGAAGCTTGTGGAAGAAGGAGAAGCTTGAGGACTCAAGAAGGAGGTTATAGATCCAGCAACTTCACTTCATTCTCAGCATTTTCTGGTAAGTAAATCTCAAACTTGCTTAATGATTACTTAGATATCTTTCCTATCACTTTTATTGGGTTTTTGATCCAACTAGCATGATCCTTGGGAAATGGACGTCCCAAGTGAGTATACATTCAGATCTAGAGCTTTGAATGGCTTTCATGGCATAAAGGTGCAGACTTTATGGCCATTGAAGCCTCATGCAAGCTTTAGGATATCATTTTGGCCTTTTAAGCTCCAAAAGGCCATGCATGGAGAGAAATTCAGAGACTTTACGTGTTCATGTAGTGTCTAGGGTCTAGATCTCAGTCTGTATGCCTTAGCTTTAAGTATTAATGGCTTTTAGATCAAGATCTAAATCTTAAAGAGTTAGGGTTTGAGCTAAATCCATTAAGGAAGGGTATTAACGGGTAGAGTTGGAAACTTTACCCTTAAAAGGACATTTTCAGTAGGTATATGAAGTATGGAGCTTAGATCTGAAGGATATAGGCTTAATCCATTAAGAAAGCTTAACAGACTGAAGAACTCGACAAGTTGGGTTGGAGTGTCCCGATTTTGTGGATAGGAAGAACTCAACGAGTTCGTGAAAGAACTCGACGAGTTGGATCGCAATTTCAGGGTTCTATGATTTATGGAACTTGACGAGTTGATGGACCAACTCGGCAAGTTGAGTCAACCTAAAACGTTGACTTTGACCAGAATGTTGACTTTGACTTTGACTTTGACCAAAGTTGACCCTTAAGGGGTTATGAGTATGAAAAGGGAATTAAAGGAAATCTTCTATGTATAGGGGCTTGAGTCGGGTGATATCCGGAGTCGAATTTTTTTCAACTACTTCCAGTTATCGAGGTGAGTTACCTTCTAGTAGAAGTGGGTCTAAGGCACCAATGTCGGCCCACTAGTAAGTGATTATAGTAGAGATGATTGTCTTTGTGATAATTGTCTGGTATGCCACTATCTGTTATGTTTTATGTGCTAGTATGATATTATGTGATAGTGGTAGGAGGGGTAGGATAGACCCCGTTACCGGTCGAAAGGACCGAAGGGGTAGGCCAGCGCCCTGATATGCTAGGCAGTTACCGGTCGAAAGGACCGAAAGGGTAGGCCAGCACCCTGATATGCTAGGCAGTATGTGACTTATGTGTTTATGTACTAGGATGATATATGGTAGTAGTAGGGGTGAAATAGTCCCCGTTACTGGTCGAAAGGACCGAAGGGGTAGGCCAGCACCCTAATATGCTAGGCAGTTATCGGTCGAAAAGACCGAAGGGGTAGGCCAGCACCCTGATATGTTGGGCAGTTACCGGTCGAAATGGCCGAAGGGGTAGGCCAACACCCTAATATGCTAGGCAATATGTTTATTGTATGGTATGTGGTATGATGGGGAACTCACTAAGCTTTGTGCTTACGGTTTTCAGTTTTGGTTTCAGGTACTTCCTATTCTAAAGGAAAGGGGTCGGCATGATGGCAGCGCATCACACACGATTTTCCGCAATGAGATCTTTGGGAGTTATACTCTGATGTTGTTTTATCGTGACATGTTTTGACTATTGACACATTGGTTTTATTATGAGTTGATACTATAGATGTTTTCAGACAAATAGTTTTATGATTATTAAATTAAAAATGTAATTTTTGGTCATGAATTTTGGGATGTTACAAATTTCTAAAAAAAAAAGTAATAAATTGTCTATGCTCATTTCCAATATTCTTAGACAATGCTAATGTAAAATGACTAAAATCAACATAGAAACAAACCACCTAGTCAAAGTCATTAAAATACCATAATACCCAATTTAAGCTATCTAAATGCATGGTATTGATAGTAATAATTAAGGCTATATAACACCACCAACAACAACAAACCGCCTAGTCTTGAAGCAATACAAGAACACCGGTATGAAAGGAGTAATATACTTTGAAGCTCACTTTGGTGAAATTTAAATAGTAACAACAGTAATCACTAAAAACACCACTTGCATCTTAAAAAAAAAAAAAGGCAGACATGAGGCATTGGATAGAAACTACTTTATGATGACTTAATATGGCCAACGGGAGCAATACTTGCTAATTCTAGGTAGATCACAAGGATAAAAAGTAAAGTGAAAGTGTTCCAAAATACCATAGAGGAAAAGAGTGTACAGACTAGACAAATTGTTCTAATAGCGTTGAGATGAGGGCAATATAAAACTATCAAGGATTACAATTAAAGATAGTAAATAACAATTTGCGACAACATCATCAATAAAGATTTCAACATATCCGGCTTTCAAATTCTAACATAGACACCATCTTTCTACTATGCCTAATTAGAAACAAATTTTCCAACCATAACT